TGTTTGATTTGAGGTGAATCCATGGAAAGGTTGATGGATGAAGTAGGACTGGGTGGGATGGGTGTGACTGTGGGTAAAGATATCAATCCAACACAGCCCCAGATGCAAAAAGTTTGCATGTGTATCAATTCCCAAGTGAATATGAAGCTCTTGGTAAGGTGGAGCTCAGGGTGGGTTCAGTAGACTTCAACAGTAGTAATAAGGGTGGGATGTGGCTTGGTGGCAGAGCATTTGCCTGGCGTACATGAGGTGCTGGGTCCAAGCCCCAGCACCATGAAAGAAAGAAAGAAAGAAAGAAAGAAAGGAAGGAAGGAAGGAAGGAAGGAAGGAAGGAAGGAAGGAAGGAAGGAAGGAAGGGAGACAGAGAGAGAGAGAGAGAGAGAGAGAGAGAGAGAGAGAGAGAGAAAGAGGAGGGTTATAAGAGGAAAGGAAGAGAAAGAAGAGGATGAGGCATCCTGAGTCCTGGGTTCTGCATCCCAGATTGGGGATGTGATGCACTTACTGGAAGAGACAAAGGAATGTGCTGGGCAGAGGTGGACTGGGGCATGGTCCCCTAGTGATAAGAGAAAGATGTCTGAGTTCCATGTCTCATCACTGCCAAGGGCAGAAAAAAGCAAAATCAGAAAGTCTAATTATGGAAAACATGACTATCCTCCAGGTTACTGCGGCCAGGCTGGTAGCTCCTCGGTGTATGCCCACGGCCCCTAAGCCCTAGGAGCTGCTTTGCCAAGAGTCTGAGTGAAAGTTCTCAAATTAAAAGGCATTGAGAGTGCCAGGCAGAAGAAGGATGCCATCAGAGAGGACTGCAGGAATGGTTGAATCCCAGCATTATCAGGCCACTTGACCACCTACTCTAAAAAGAAAGGCTGAAGCATCCTAGTTCCAGGCTCCCTAGGAGTCCCTGGAGGGTGGGTCAGCATGACATAGGACGCTTGGTACCAGGGACACTTCTCTCCCTGTTGATCATCCACCTTGTCTCCTCAAGGAGTCCCTGTATATCCCAGGAGGAGATGGGTATTAGAGAGCACATCATCAGCCCCCGTCCTCCACTCCAGACCCTTCACCACTGCCCACGTGGGCCCTGTACCCTGAATACAACCTTTCTAGGGTTGCTCAATGACTTCTGTGGCTGGTCTGAGCTTCTGACCAACCCCTGCATTCATCTATACCCTCCAGACAGATACAGACCCCCCACCCCATCCCTGTATGCCTTCACTGCTGTTTCTGGACACACTTCAAGCATCCATGGGATCAGCTCATCATCTGAGCCAGCCTCAGTAGTCATGGCTGCCACCCTAGAGTGGGCACCAAGAGTTCCAGAGGTTCCCTGTGCCTGGCTCTCAGCAGGTTTGGACAAAGGGCATTTCTCCCTTTAGGACCTCACAGCAGCTGATACCTCACTCCTGAGGGGACTTTAATAGCTGCAACACAGAGCCAGCAGTGGAGGTGGTCCCTGGAGACCCACACCTTGTAAATGACACTTTATATGGTCGGGCTATCAGGGAGCCTTGCTGGGTACCGTAGTTCGGGTGGTGCAGATTCCCTGTCCTTACTCAGATCTGGCAAATTCTCTTTAACAAACATCCCCTCCTTTATAATGTGGCTTAGGACAATTTCAAATGATTTTAAATGGCTTCATTAATTTACATACTTTTTATGATTGGCGTTTATGATTTTTGGAGGACAGTTTTTCATATCTTTTTGGAAATGGATCCTCTGCTATTTTACACGTTTTTGATTTATATGTAACAGAAGAAATCCCAAGGTCTCTTAAAGACCTGTTTCCCATTGGGTTGAATAATAAAATTGCATAAAATCCCATTTGTCAAAAAAAAATTTATTTCATCAACCAGTGCCTCCCTGTGATAAGCAAGGATGTCATTAACATGTGGAAGGTGTCATTGCCATGTCCTTAGACTGGGCCTTGGTGTGTGTCTTGGAAGCCTGTTTCAGAACAGCTGAGCCTCCAGACACAGGCTGCCTGAGCCAGTCCTCTCCCTCCCAATTCCACACAGCTGCTCCTCTGGTTGCCTGAGTTCTCACAGCCACAGTCACAGCCACAGTCACAGCCACAGTCACAGCCACAGCCACAGTCACAGTCACAGCCACAGTCACAGTCACAGCCACAGTCACAGCCACAGCCACAGTCACAGCCACAGTCACAGCTACAGCCACAGTCACAGCTACAGCCACAGTCACAGTCACAGCTACAGCCACAGTCACAACCACAACCACAACCACAGCCACAACCACAGCCACAGCCACAGTCACAGCCACAGCCATAACCACAGTCACAGTAAAGCCACAGTCACAATCACATCCACAGCCACAGCCACAGTCACAACCACAACCACAGCCACAGTCACAGCCACATTCACAGTCACAGCCACAGTCACAGCCACAGCCACAGTCACAGCTACAGCCACAGTCACAGCTACAGCCAGTTACAGTCACAGCCATAGACACAGTCACAGTAAAGCCACAGCACAGTCACAGCCACAGCCACAGCCACAGCCACAGCCACAGCCACAGCCACAGCCACAGCCACAGCCACAGCCACAGCCACAGTCACAGCCACAGCCACAGCCACAGCCACAGTCACAGCCACAGCTACAGCCACAGTCACAGCTACAGCCACAGTCACAGCTACAGCCACAGTCACAGCTACAGCCACAGTCACAGTCACAGCTACAGCCACAGTCACAGCCACAGTCACAGTCACAGCTACAGCCACAGTCACAGCCACAGCCACAGCCACAGTCACAGCTACAGCCACAGTCACAGCCACAGCCACAGTCACAGCCATAGCCACAGCTACAGCCACAGTCACAGCCACAGCTACAGCCACAGTCACAGCCACAGCCACAGTCACAGCCACAGCCACAGTCACAGCCACAGTCACAGCCACAGTCACAGCCACAGTCACAGCTACAGCCACAGTCACAGCCACAGCCATAACCACAGTCACAGTAAAGCCACAGTCACAATCACATCCACAGTCACAGCCACAGCCACAGCACAGTCACAGCCACATTCACAGCCACAGCCACAGTCACAGCCTCAGCCACAGCCACAGCACAGCACAGCCACAGCCAGCCACTTGGCCCTACATTTCTATTCCCCCCAGGACTGCCCTCATGCCAACAGTGGCTGACACAGTTTGACAAAACTAAGGTCTATGTGCTTTCCCCTGGAACTCCTCACCTACACACACACACACACACACACACACACACACACACACACACGCACACTTTGCATAGACATACATGTATAAAAGACATCCACACTGCTAAGCATCAGCCTGGCCCCATACACAACTCACAGGAACACTCACTGCTTCCTTTGCTGCCACTGATCCCACCCCATTCTCCATCGTAACTTTAAGTCCCTCGGATGCCAGACCTAGACGTGACATTGAGTAGCCTACCTGCCTCGGCACCCACAGGCCTCCCCCAGCAATCTTGTCCCTTCTTCCCCATGTCACTGCTCCGAAAGGCCACTGGCCTCTTACCCAGACCCAAGGGGTTTGCTGGGACAGACACCTTATCCCGCGGGAATGGGCTTCTGAATCAGCCTTGGTGCCCACACCTCCCGTGAGGAGATTTCGGGTCTGCAGCAAAGCCCTAGAGTAAAAAGCCCTAGAGCTGCCCTGTCCAGGCCCTCACCACTGTCATAGCTGCTTCAACCTGGCGACACCCTGAGACCTTCCCCAGTGGCTCGGGCTCTGCTCCTTCAGGCATCTCTGACACAGGGACTTTTGTTGCTGCTGCTGCTGCTGCTGCTGTTGTTTTGTTCTTTTGAGACAGGGTCTCGCTATATAACTCTGGGTCTGGAACTTGCTATGTAGACCAGGCTGCCCTCAAATTCACAAAGATCTGAATGTCTTTAGGCTAGAATTAAAGGTGTGTGCCACCAAGCCCCAGCACTTACCTCTATTTATTCCTCCTCCCCTGCCCCTTCTCAGGGACTCCCATAGGTGGCTCTTCTGAGCACGGGTAGGAACTGTCACCACTCAGCTCCAAGATAGAAACCTCACTGTTGCTGAGAGAAACAGGGATGGGAGGTAGGTTGGTAGCACCCAAAAGCTAGAGAGACCAGTGAAAGTAGCCCAGGCTCACCCCTGCTGGGAAGTAACTCCAGGCTCACCCCTGCTGGGATGCTATCAGCATCCCTGGTCTATGGAACTCAGGATATGGCTGAAGGTGGCTTCCCCAAGGGAGCGGGCAGGGAGTTTCTTCAGCACATTTCAAAAATATGCCTCAGGGTTGCTCAATCTGGGGGAGCAAGACAAACAGCATCGGAGATGTACCCTCCCCAATCCTCCCAGAGCATCATGTGATGTCCCACATCTAATCTTCTGTGTGCCCCCTATGCATGAACAAGATGGTCTGCCACTGTAGACATCTAACCAATCCACAGGATCCATGAGGTTATCTCATCCAATAGATGGCATCTTATCACAGAGATGCTACTCTGGTGGCAGGAGGTGTACCAGGAGTCACAAAGCTAGATCACATTCACACGACAACCTTCCACACTCTGGCCTTCTTCAAAAACAAGGAATGGCCCCAGATCCTGTGTGTGGCAAATGCTCAGTCAGGCACCCACACCTGCAATCCCATGGTATCCGCCAGGAGGTCTCCAGGGCCGGGACTTGAGTATAGCAGGGAAACACTCAGCCAGAGGACAGTGATGGCAGCAGCCTATACCCAACAACGCAAGTTCTCCAGCTGGGAGACAGATGAAGCCCGAAGATGGTACAGCACCACCTACTGACCAGCATCTGGCTGGTCATATCTGGCCAGGGCCTCTCCTCCCCAAAACCCACAGCAGGACAGACCTCTGGCAAAACCAGAAAAGGGAAGAAAGGAGAGAGGGTGCTGCTGAAGCAGACCATCCAAGGCCCTCTGCTGTGGCCACAGTCCCATGACTTTAATCTGAACACCTTAGAGACCCTTTAACTAACCCTGAATCCCCTGAAATAAAACAAGAAATGGCCAGATGTAAGGAGACTCTTTAATCACAATGAACAGACATCAGCAGACAGAACACTTGAGCACAGACTCTGTCAGAGTGTGTCTTCCTCCCAGGCAACCCCCTCAAGAAGGAGGTCCAGGCCTCACCTACAGGGCAGGAGACTTTGAAGGACTATCCAATCTCCATCCCTGGGCCACATTGGACATGGAACCATGGCAGATCAGACAGGAGACAGGCAGGTGACATGTCGTTCCTAATGTCTCCATTGCCCAGTCCCCAGGCTGTCCTTCATGTCCAACAGAAGATGTACCCCATCAGAAGGGCTCAGGAGGGGCTCCACACCCTCCAATGACCTTGGGTGCCCTCTCTGCAGGGGTCAGGGTCAGGTCTAGAAATGGGTCAGGACCTTGGCTGGGGATGAAGCTAAACAAGATTCTGCCAAGAAATGGCTAGAGACTAAGGATACTGGCCTGGGGGCTATGGGACCCAGCAACAAATGACTTCCATATCCGGTACACAAACTTGAGCTTCGTCACTTCCTTCCACTAGCCCACTTGTATGGTCAGCCTGAGCTCTATCAGGCAGCAGGCTAGACAGCAAGGGCCACATCAGCCCGGGCAGGAGGATTCTGCCATGACTGGGTAGGGCATGGCCAAAGCAGACCAAACAGAGGAAGTGTCTACCAGCTCTCAGAGCTCTGGGCAACCCTCTGCCAGCTCGCCAGGCACGGCCTTCCATCTGGCAGACCCTCACAGCAGCTGGTCCGTACGCTTGCTGCGCCACACCACCAGGCCAGCCATGGCGACGGTCAGCAGCACAGGCACTGCAATCAGTGGGATGAGCACTTCATCTGGGGGGTCTTCCCAGTGGGCCCTGTCCACAGTGCAGTTGGAGAAGAACTGCCTGTGGATACCAGTAATGAAGCTCTGAGCCAGCGGGTTGGGCCAGTAGCAGCCCACGGTGTTGGTCTCCACTTCCGTGCAGTTCGTGAAGCTCTCATAGTACCTGCAGAGGCAGAAGGTAAGTCTAGAACTCTCCCAACACCGCTCACACCTGCCCTGCCCCGGACCCAACAGACAATCAGGGAATGGTCTGGGCTCAGTCCCACTTGGCCACCTACCAAAACTGTGACCTGAGAAGTCACTTCCAACTGGGTCATCTGTACCCATGGCCTTCTCTCCATGTCATTTCCCTACATCTATGACCATGATCAGAAGCCCTGAAGCTGTAAGCTCCCAGGGCCCACAATGTCTGTTCAGCAACTGACCTCCCCAGCACTATACAAGTGTCCCCAAAAGATATGGAGCACAGGCCCACAGCCACAAGGACTTGTAAGACCCTCACCATCAGAGCATCCTGGAGGCCTGAGAAAGTCTGCCTGAGGCCGGGGCCAGCTTCCGCCCAACCAAATCAATCCGTTCTCACACGCCAGGTAGACCTATGAGGCCCAGCCTCTGCCTGTCTGCTACTGCAAAGTTGCCCCTCTGCCCCATCTGACAGGATGCAAGGGACCTGCCCAGAGAACATCCTGAGCCGGGTCTCATCTAACCAGACTTTCGCTGGTTCTGTAGGCTGCCCAAGGGCTGCCACTACCAAGAACCAGAGTTCAGCCTCATGTATGAAAAGAATGTCCAATAGGCCCTAGTCTAGGATGCAGTGGGCAGTGTCTGGAGGTGGTGACCTCCCTGCTATTGGGGTCTTTGAGACCAAGGTCAGCTAAGAAGTTCAGGAGGAAACCGAGAGGATGGATGTCTGCCCAAAGCCAGCATCTCTCCCCAGGACAGCACTATCCCAGGCCTGTTTAGATTAAAGACAAACACAGGGGAAAGAGGATCCTGGCCCAGCTTCCCACGGGGTCAGGGCAAGGGCCCACCTCCTCCTTCCTGTGCTGTTGCAGGAAGCTTGCCCATTGACGGGAAGGAGCTACTTCCAACAGGCTGCTTCAAAAAAACATCACTGCCATCTGAATTGCCAGAAGCATCAGAATAAGGATGAAAAGGGGCAGAAGTGGACTATGGGACCCCAGGCCTCTGTGTCTACTCCTCCTGGGTAGGGTCCTGGAGTCCACTCATTCAAACCGGATTCTGACTCACACTACCCAAACCAAAGCCCAAACCACATGCCTGTGGCCTCCAAGGTAACTTTTACCTTGGAGAACCAGAAGGCCCCACTGGGCTGCACTCTTGATGCAGCCCTGGAGATGCCCAGGAAGTCACAAACACCCCAGAAAAAAAACCTGTTGCCTCAGAAGGCCCCCTCATCTCTATGTGTGTCGAGAACCACATGCTATGGCCTCCATGTTTCCAAGGCCTTTCCACTGAACTGCCCAGAAATACCACCCACAATTGTCCTCACGGCTCCATGAGGCTAAGCCAGGCAAACCCCAGAAGCCCCTACAGCCCAGGGCAGTGTGTAGGCAAAGCTAGGTGGGGAGTGTGGGAGGGCTGTGGGTGGGTGTGCCTAGGACCGTGAGCAGAAGTATGGGAGGGGCCGAAGGGCAAGGCTAGGCAGAGTGCAAGGGCAGCATGCCTGGGTCCCACGGCCAGAGGGCACTCACACGATGAACTCGGACAGGTTGCACCACTTCCAGACGTCCACCTTCTGCATCATGTCAGCGAAGGCTTGCCCACAGCGGGGCAACCTCTCCAGCATCCCCGTCTCATTGCAGCCGCACACTTGGGCACACTCACCTAGGGGGAACAAATGTGAGAGCGGGGAAGTCCAGGGAACTCTGACAAGCAAGCACAGCCCCTCCTGCCGACCCTCAACCTGACCCCGGGTAAAGCAGGATTTCTCCGCTTGACCACTGCAGTGGCACAAGGAGGGGGAGCCATGGGGAAGCCCTGGGTCAGAATCCTCGGGGCATCCTAAGCATATCCAAGAGCCTCCAGCTCCAGCTCAGTGGCCCAGGGTGCCTGCAACAGTCCTGGGAAAGGCTCTGAGCTGGTATGGGCCCCCCAGTCCTGGGACTCCTGAGGCTGAGGCCCCATGGAGACGCATGTTCCCAGCAATGAGAGTCATGGAATTCTCAGGCCTGCTACTGACTGTCACCCCAGGAGTTCACCATATCATCCCCTCTACCTCCCACCTTCATTCTATATGCACGTTCCTAATAGGACCAGAAATGCCTTCCTCCCCACCAAGCAATGCCATCTTGTTCTCCAGAACTCACTCCATGCCATGGCCATCCTATTTCCAAATGGCATAACTACACTGCTTCTAAACTTCCTTACCCACCCCTTATTCTGTTCTCATCATATAATCAAGGGAAACACAGTTCTGTGTGGCTTGGTAGGTGGGTGTACAGATCCCTGCCAACTGCATACTGACGCGTACAACCCTGCTGTGTCCAGAACAGAGTGGGGGGGAGGCAGTTTACAGACCTACTCTGTGTGTATGTGTGTCTGTTTATGTATTTGTGTGTCTGTGTAGGGTGTGTGTGTGTATCTATGTGGGATGTATGTCTGTGTATGTGTGCATCTGTGTGGGGTGTGTCTATGTGTTTATATGTATGCATGTGTCTGTGGGTCTGCATGTGTGGTGTGTGTGTGTGTTTGTGTGTATGTCTATGTCTGTGTGGGGGAGTCTGTGTGTGGTTTGTCTATGTGTATGTCTATGTCTGTGTGATGTGTGTCGTGAGTCTGTGTGTGGTGTGTGTGATGTTTTGAACAGACAATCCTGCTGTCTACATCCTGGGGTGGGGCATGTGTGTGTGTGTGTCTGTGTGTGTGTGTGTGTGTGTGTAGTGTATGTGTGTGCTTGTGTGGGATGTGTCTGTGGATCTGTGTGTGGTTTGTCTGTGTGTGTGTGTGTATGTCTGTGTGACTATGTGGTGTGTGTATGTGTGTGTCTATGTGTGTGTGTGTCTGTGTATGTGTGCGTGTGTAGTGTATGTGTGTGCTTGTGTGGTATATGTCTGTGGGTTTGTGTGTGGTTTGTCTGTCTGTGTGACTATGTGGAATGTGTATGTCTATGTGTGTGTGTGTCTGTTGTATATCTGTGAGTCTGTGTGGGGTGTGTACGTGTGTGTGTGTGTGTGTGTGTGTGTGTGTGTGTTTTGCCTGAATGTGCTGTCTCTATGCCCACAAAGGCCAGAAGAAAAAGTATCAGAACTTCTGGAACTGGAGGTACAGACTGTGAGCCACCACATGGCTGCTGGGAACTGGACAGAGAGATCCTCTGCAACAGCAGCCAGGGCTCTTAACTGCTGAGCCATCTCTCCAGACCCCTCACTCACGAGTTCAGCAAAAGACCACGAGCACTTACATCCAGTGTGGAGAACTGTGCTGGATGCTGAGAACAGAAGAAAGATGATGAAAGAAGGCACAGGTACATCATCGGAAGGTGCACCCACCTTCCTAAACAAAAATGATCACAAGCAAATACTATGAACATCCTTGCGATAAGAGACGGAATGAGAAGACTCCTAGTAAGACAGTGTTGTGGGTTACATTGTGTCCCCTCAGGGGAGTCGTGGCTATGCTGAATGTGGCTTATTTGGAAAATAGGATCTTTGCAGAAGTGTTTATGTATATATAATGAGTCCATTTGGGTGGGCCCTGCTCCATATGAGCGGGTACTCGCACAAAAAAGGCGACACTGGGGCACAGTGACAAACACAGGTGGGTCATATGATGGCAAAGGCAAAGATCAGAATAATGCCACCACAGAGGCAGGAAGGCTGGGGGCCATCAGAAGCCAGGCAGAGGCAATGAAAGAGTATGTCCCCACTGAGTTACAGAATTAAGAGAAACCTCCATTGTTTCCAGTCATTTGGTTTATGATTCTTAGTGACAGCTGTAGGACACTGAAATTCACTCCAGAAGAAAAGGGAACTCTGAAAAGAACTAAACCTCCTGTAAAAATAACCCAGGCCCAGAAAGCTGAACTGGCAGTCTACCAAGTGTTTAGAGAATTAACAGAAATCATCCACAAACTCTTCAGATACTAGAACAGAAATCCTGACTTGTCTACTTCCTTACTCATTCTGTGAGGCCAGTTTTACCTTGAGAGCAAAAGCCAAAGTCATTCCTAGGAAGAAAGCAACACCTCTTAGGAGTACAGATGCAAAAACTTTAGATATGCATTAGCAACACACAAAAATGAATGCACATCACGGCTAGGGGAATTTTCTAGAAATGCAAAGATGGCTCAACACAGATATCAGTGCAGTGGGCCATGCTGCCAAGAGGGAGTATGAGGGGACCATGTGACTCAGAAAAAGCATGTGGAAAAATAAAATGGTTTTTTTGCAATTAAAAAAAACTGAAAGAGAGAACACCCATAGGACAATAAAGGCCATACAGGAAAATCTCAGCATTGATACCACCTCAGTGGTAAAGGACTGAGACATTTTCTCCTAAGACCAGTGCAAAACAAGGATGTCTGTTTTTAGCACTTCTATTCAACACAGAACTAGAAATACAACCCAGAGCAGTGGGCAGGAAAGAAACAAAAGACTCAGATTGGAAAGGAAGACCGGAAAGTATCTGTACTCACAAATGTCATGATCTTATACACGGAAGCTCCAAAGGAGCCATACCAGAACTGAAAGTGTGACTCCACCGGCTCTGCAAAGAAACAGGGACAAGCCAGCACAACAGTTTGGGCTGGAACAACAGCTCAGCAGTTAAGAGTGCTTGCTGCTCTTGCAGAAGACCCAGGTTTGGTGCCCAGCACCTGCATGGTGGCTCACAACCATCTGTAACTCCAGTTCCAGGAAATCCAACACCCTCTTCTGGGTATCATTATCTGCATATGGTGCACACATACACATACAGACAAAACATGCATACACATAAAAATAACAATAGATCTTTTAAATGTATTAATAAAAAATCCAAAAATAAAGGATAGAATTTTGATAATAATATGGTCAAAAAGAACTAAATTCTTGGCACTCAATTTACTAATCAAGGCCAAAAACCTGTACTCTGAAAATTATAAAACTTAGGATCTATATAAATGGAAAGGTAACCCATGTTCATCAATTTAAGAATTTAATATTATTAAGATGTTAATATTGGACTAAAGAGATGGTTCGGCTGGTGAAGCCTCGGTTCACAACCAAACATCAAGATGGCAACTACTGTCATGGCTGCATGAGAAAAGCCTCTGGGCACACTTGAGATGATTTTCTTTTCATGTTAACTGAAATGAGAGCACCCACCTTCCACGTGAGTGGCACCTTTCTGGTGATGGACCAGACAAAGGAAATCCTAGGAAAGGAGCGGTTTGCTTTTTGCTTGCTTGCCTTTGCCTCTCACTAGTCTACCACCACCCCGTCACTCCTGCCATCAGAACTCAGGTTCCTCAGCCTTCTAACATGAACTGAAAACCAATGGCTCTCCGGGAATCACCAGTGCCAGACTGGGAGTGCTGAGCTGTCTAACTTCACACACGGAGCAGCTGCTCGGTTCTCAGCATCTCCAGCGTCGACGGTTGGACTGCCCAGACCTTATCTTATAAGCCAATCTAATAAATCTCCCCTTTAATATATATTCAACCAACTTAATATATATTCATACAATCTCTTCCTCTTGAGAGCCCTGACTAATTCAGTTATCTAAAATGCTCGATAGACCCAATGCAATTACGATGGAGATCACACAAGTCCCTTGCAGTAACTGATAAACTGACCTTCAAGCTCAACAAAGTGGCAGTGGGGTGTGGTGGGACACAGCTATAATCTCAGCACTTGCAAGGAAGAGGCAGGAAGATTGGGGCTCAAAGTCATCATCTCCAGCTGCATAGAGAGTATAAGGCCAGCCAAAACCAGGCTGGGAAGATGGCTCAGTACTGTGCTTATGGAGATCCTCAGACCCTCAGCACCAACTTCAATTTAAAAAAAAAAAAAAAAAAAAAAAAAAAAGCAGGTGGCTGGAGAGATGGTTCAACAGCTCAACAGTTAGAAGCACGTGCTGCTCTTGCAAAGGGCCTGAGTTCACTGAGTTCAGTTCTCAGCACCTACGTCAGGCAGCTCACAACTGCCTGCAACTCCAGCTCCTGCCATTGCAATGCCTTCTTCACATACACGCACATACATACACATATGTACACATACATACAAGGTAAATCTTTTAAAAATACAAAGCAAAGCATCACAGTAGCATGTGCCCAGGCGCGTGGGGAAGTGGACACAGGAAGATCCCTCAGCCTTGCCAGCCAGTCAGCCTCCCTAATTGGTTCAAGGAGAGAGTCTTTCTCAAAAAGTAAGGCAGAGAAGCAATCAAGGAAGACAACTCCCACATTAACCTCTAACTTCCATATGTCCCTGTGCATGTGTGGGCATGCGCAAAAGCACGCGCGCATGTGCACGTGCACACACATGAAAGGAAAAGAGAAAAAAGAAAGAAATGTAGGACAGGGGAGATGGTTCAGCTGGTGGAAAATCTGGCATGCAAACATGAGGATCTGAGTGTGGGTCCTCAGCACCCACATAGAAGTCTGGCATGGGAAGCCAGGTGCAGTGGAACATGCCTCTGATCCCAGCACTTGGGAGACAAAGACAGGCAGATCTCTGGAGTTCAAGGCCAGTCTGGTCTACAGAGTGAGTTCTAGGACTGCCAGAGTTATGTAGAGAGAGCCTATCTTAAAAAAAATAAAATTTAATTGAAAAGCTTGGCATGGTATTGTGTACCTGTAACCCTAGCACTACAGCTAGGAAATTTCTGGACATGGCTGGCCAACC